CTTCCCTTCTATTAGGGAACACTTCACAAATTACATCTCTAAATATATCAAAAGCTAACACAAATTCAGGCATGGTCAGTTGCCGGTTTAACCTGGAGTCTTTGAATCTGACCACCACAGATACTTCGTCATACATGTAAGTCTTATTTTCGACCACATCCTGGGAGGCAATTAGTAGGGATGCTAGGTTGACATATTTTCCTTCCAGAATGTCTCTCTTAATGTGGGCTGAGATTGTGTGTGAAGGATCAACGTCCTGATAATCAAGAGGTAATAGTACCCGTGGTTCGGTTGGTGCCTGTTGAACTGTATCAAGAAGGCCAGCCTTGGTGAGGGCTGTGGTGACCGCCTCTAGATTAGCCAGTCTCTCGTTAACCTTGCCCATAGAGTTAATGAGCGAGGCCAGCATAGCCTGGATGTCGCCCGAGTTGGTGTTGCTGGAGCCTTCCCCTGGTTCCATGTTGTCGGTTGTAGTGCTTAGGAGTTTGAATAGCTCCACTTTCCTTGCTGTGGCAGGGTAGGGGATTTGTCGCCTCCTTAGCTCGGTGGTGATGGTTGGGATCGTCCAGGACTGGCAACATCTTCCCTACGAGAAGGTGTCTCGACTCTAGCTCGGGTGCTATGAAGAGATATCTCTTCGGCACCTTCATGAGACATACTTAAATAAAAAAAGATAAAATTATTATTTGAACCGAGTAGTTTAGTACTGGCTTGCTAGCTATGCCGTAAGGCGAAACCATTATGCTTATTGTTTTGGTGACAGGTGAGGCCCTGCTAGTTGCCAAGTGGCTTGAGCGGCTCTATCTATGCTTGGCACGAGGGGATTTTTGTGGCCACCAAACGTTGTGGCAGGATGTTGGCCTCTCGGTGACTGTAACCAGAAAATAGGAAGGGGAGTGACAGGTGAGCCGCTCTCTATGATACGTGTGAGGCGGCTAGCTCATGAGTGGCCCGAGGGGTGTATGCCTCCGAGTGGGAGGCGGGGTGTTGGCCTCGCGGGACCACTGATCCGAAGTATAGTGCAGAGAAAGAGGAAAAATTACCGATTGGCCCCTATGACTCTAATTGCCAGTACTTATGTCTATTCTGTGGGATATCAATTCTGGATATACTGTAAGTAGGTGTATGTACCTGGAAGTATAGTTTTTTTTGCAACCTAACAATCATCTAAGGTAGCAGATGTACCTGTAACTAAATAGATGGAAACCGTATGAAAATAAAGACAAATGGCACAACCAAGTTTACCTTTATTATGTTTGGCTGTTTTGACTTGTAGAGGTCAGTGGAGATGATGTTTATAGGATCTCCGTAAGTATGAACTGGCCGACCTGTAGGTAGCAGTGATCGAGTTGTAGCATGGTGGACGTAATAGTATGTAACGTGAGTTTCTAAGTATTTAAATGTGATGCCTGTACCTGATTAATTTAGGGGGTATCAATAGGGTATATACTATTATGGGGAGGGATGTATTTTGATATCGTAGTATGTATGATACTGATGTAGAATTATTAAAATCTTTACTGAACTTGTATTGAATAATTGTACTAACTCCATTTTTAATCTCACACTGTGACAGAACTCTCCATTTTGTTCACCTTACATGACAGTATTCAATATAATGAATAAGAGATTGTATTTTCTCTCTCTAAGGACATAACTAGCCCCGGAGTTAGCGGATCTCCGTTGACTTGCAACATAGTATAATCCAAGGCCAGGAGAACAGCGACTAAATGAAATGTTCTATTCATAAAAGAACCTTGGACCAGACCACGAGACTGACATCACTAACTACGTAAAATGATGCCCAAGCCCCCCCTTTCCACCGAGTAAGCCTCGTGCTAAAGAGCAATGACATCCCATGATGGGAGGGTGCCTCACTAGTCACTCAAATCTCTGAGCCAATTAATAATATTAATGGGTGGACACTGACATAGCCACTTAACATTTAACCCAATTAATGATGTTTATTTGTTATTATCTGATATTCAATGATGATGTCATTTTGCATATAAAAAGGCCTGCGTGCCCGCTTTTTAACTAGATGTTAATAAATTTCCTGAAGTGTTTTTAACCTGAACTGCATGTGTCAGTGTGAACTTACTTCTGCGTATACGCAATTTATTCATCTCAGATTTGGACAGGAACAGATAGACTTTTAAACATTTTTGTTTATTTCTAAATTAATCTACATCAATTTGGCGTCCATCCACGTGGGGCATCGGGCTATGGCCTCCGGCCGGTAAGCCGTCCTAAGGAAGACGCTGTTGGACGGAGGAATCGGGGGGGAAGGAAGAGAGACTGATCACCTCTGAGTACACGGTAGAGACTTCTGCAGGAGCCACCGGTATGTTCCAGCCCCTTTGATTGACCCGTCCACGTGTCTGTGACTGCTTCCCGGGAGGGCATCAAAGACAGGTAATATCTTGCCCGGTGTCTTGTTACCCATTTGTTTACCTGCATTTAGTCTATCTGTTGTCTGGGTGTGCTAGTGGTATATGTTTTGTTCTTTCCCTCTTTTGGGATAAAGGGGGGTGGACCCGTGGGTGGTTGCCTGGGGGTCTTCTGTTGCCTGTTTTTACCCCTTTTTAGGAGTCACTTGGCCCAGACTGTTGGGAAAAAAGGGGGGGTGGACCTGTGGGGATTTTCCAAAGGGGTCCTGTTTTCCTGTTTACTTCTTTTAGGTACTGTCTACCTAACAGTAGTAAGGAAAAAGAAGGGTTGGGGGATCTGTGGAGGGGACTTGCCTCCTGGGGTTTCCCGGTTACGTCACTTTGATATTCTAGCTAGCCTCATTGTGTACGTTGCTCTGCTTGCAGAGGTTATGGTACCCTCCAGCTTCGAGCGCTGAGGCTGGTGGCATTCCACTTTATTTGTGGTGTGTGGATTCGGGCAGGCATTGTTGTCTCCATCACCACGGGGTAGTGTGACTTGTGGGTGGGTCCATAGGGAGCACTACGGGAGTGAGGATAGAGGTGGCCACACTTAGTGGACTGCTGTAACGAGGGAGGCATATGGATTTCGGGCCGGTGTTAGTCGTTATCCTTGGCCGCTGGTAGTGAAACTTACGAAAGTTGTTCTCCGAGCGGGGACACTACGAGATTGAGGGAGGTGGCCTTGGTGGCCACAAGAGTAAAGGAAAGGGATTACTGTTGATGCATGCACTGTATTTCAATTGAAATGTTGTATTAAATGTTGTTTTAAGTGTGGAGTTATTCAAACTCCTGGGTCTGTCTCTACTTTCACTGTTTACTTTTCCTCTACTTCCTGTACTATTTACACTATCCACTCCTATTTCTCTTGTAAGGGAAGTGATTGGTCACACACTTCTCACCCCGCTCCAATCCGTGGCTACCACCGAGGGTACACGGATTCAGTGACTGGTCTACGTTTTGGGAAGACGCACTGGGAGGGACCCACCCTTCCTAGTGGCAGTCGAGCATTGTAGACGTTCTGTTTCATTTTCCTTTACCTATACTTGGGACGCTCTGTATAGGGGGATATGGGACAGGAAGTGAGTAAGCCCAGTAGGGGCTGGCTCGCGTGTGATTTAGTTGAAGATAGAGAAGGTGAAGAGATGATTAAAAATGTTGCAAAGATTGCTAAAGTGTGTAAAATTGCTGTGCCTTCATGTGGTAGATTACAGCCAGAAAGCTGGCGTAGATTACTGACAGAGAAGAAAGGCAAGCTTACAGATAATGATTTATTACGTACTGCTGAAGCATGGTACAGAGTAGCAAAGGCTATCCAGCAGGAGGGTTGGGTAGAGGAAGAGATAAATCATAAAGGTGTAAGACTGTATGTGTATCATAAGAATTGTGTTACTGGGGCATCCTCTCAGCCAACACCCCAAGATGGTGCCCAGGGGATGTCTATTCCCAAGGTTCGGTCAGCAAAAGAAGACAGCCAGCTGACCATGTTCTCCACTCCCGAACCTCCCGTCACCCATCCCGTCACCTCCCCTGTCTGCCCAGTCCTGAATTCTGACGGATCCTTTTTCTCCCCTCCATCATCCCTAACACTCCCATCATCCCCATCCATCCCTGCATTGCCTTCTGTGACTAATCTGCCTAGTCTAAATGTTTCATCCACCATTTCTTCTCAACACTCTCCGTTGCTAACCCTCCTACCCCATCTTCTTCCACCCAGTTAGCTAACCCCTCCTCCCTTGCTATTGCCAATCCTACTGCACCCACTTCAGCTACTCCTCCTACACCCGTCTCCACTAATCCCGCTCCGTCTTCCCCGTTACTCACTCCTCCCACAGCCCAAGTCCCCACTCCCCCCCCTAATCCTTACTCAGCTATTATGCCCTCCCTTGGTTCCGCCCTAGCCCCTGCCCAGTTTCCCTGGCCATACCCCTTACCATACCCAATGTCCTTGCCCTACCCAAATTATCCCTACCCCTTTTTCCAAGCCACTCCCCAGACACCGGTCATGCCCAGTCTGGCCCAGTCTGCCCCGGATGTGCCCACATCCAATATGGCCGCCACTTCTTCCCTTAACCCTAACGCAGCCCCTTTCCACGCCTCCAATATGGCGGCCCCCAGTCATTCAGCACCCCTGATGCCTGTACTTCCCGGTGACTACTCACCACAGGCTCATAACCTACCCGCCACCCCAGCATCTGGGAATCCCTCATTTCCCCCGGTTCTGACACCTCAGGTTATCCCATCACGTAGAAGGGCCCAAACCACAGATGAGGATGAGAATGATGAGGGTTCCCAGGGCTCACTAGAGCTTGTAGAGTCACAGCCCCACCGTTCCATAGATGATCCTTTCGGGCATGCGGGTCGGGGAAATAGGGGGGACCAGGCCCCTCCTAAATATGTTGCTTTCAATCCAACGCAAGCTAGTGCTTTAATAAAATCGCTCCCTGACCCAGAAAAGCAACCTATGCCTTTTTACCGAGGGATAGTTCAGATTCAAAAGACTTATTCCGCAGCATGGCGTGATTTACTAAGCATTTGTGCAATCAAGGCCGGGGATGCATATTGGCCCAGCATGTCCCGACACCTCAATGCCGATTTACTGACAAGTGACACTGATTACCCCTCCGGAGTAACTTTTTGCAGCCAGGTAAAGGAGTGGGCAAAAGACAAACTTGCAGATCAGGCTGCCGGCATTACTGATGTTATACAAGAGAAAGGAGAATCAGTGGAAAGATTTCATGCAAGACTGTTTCAAATGTTTACAGATTTGGGCTTTGATCGTACCGACAAGATTCATTCACAAATGCTGTCAGGTGCATTTGTCCAAGGTGTAAAGGATTATATTCGTAAGGGAATCATTGCTGCACGCCCTGAATATAAGGTAGTCTCTCTGGATACCCTACTTTTAGTTGCCAGGGGTCTAGAGTCTGCACAGGCTCCCAAAAAACAGACTTCGGTTTCTTCCTCAGCCCCTCTCATGGTGTCCCGCTTCACCCCTGTCCCAAGAGGTACCAAACCTGAGGATGGTTTCTGTTTCAATTGCAAGGTTAAAGGTCACTTCAAAAATGAGTGCCCGGAACCCAGAAAGGCGCCCAAGCCTGCACCTGCCCATAAGGCCACAGAAACGGTTCCAATTGTTAAGGAACCAGATGATTAGGAAGTTGGCAAGCCTGTGTCATTAACCCCTGTCATGGCAGTGTCTTCAGGGGATAGAGGGGGGGGGCCACTTGCCACTGTGACTTTACCCATTGAAGGACGAGAAACCACATTTTTAGTTGACACAGGTGCAGCCCGAAGTGTTCTGAGAGAACAAGACCTGCCAGATGCCTCATTCCTATCAGAAATAGATGTCTCTTGTGTTGGAGTGGATGGCCAACCAAGGCACAGTCCTTTAACAACCCCATTGCGAGTTGGCAATTACCCAAACTTGCTTGCTCGATTTGTAGTATCCTCCACATGCCCAATTAACCTGTTAGGTGCTGATGTCCTCTCACGCCTGCAGGCATCTATCACCTTCACCCCAGAAGGTCAAGTAGAATTGTCTACTCCCCTATCTGAATCAGATACCTCAGTTTTGTGCTCCCTACCTCTAGTGCTGCATTTAGATGAACCCCGTGGGGAAGCAAAAGAGCAGAGGTCCAATTTTTCGGATATCATCAAAACAAAGGTACCTGCAAAATTATGGTCCAAAGGCCCAGAAGACATAGGTCATCTGAGAGTTCCACCTGTGGTGGTAAAGCTCATTCCAGGAGCAAAATTACCAAGAAAACCACAATATCCTCTAAAGCCAGCTCAGGCTGCAGCTATTTCAATTCAAATCAAAGCACTTTTGGAGAAAGGTGCTCTTGTGAAGTGTGAATCAAAATGCAACACCCCATTATTTCCTGTGAAGAAGAAAACACCAAAAGGGGAACCAGAGAAGTACAGAATGGTCCAGGACCTCAGAGCTGTCAATGAAGCAACTGTCCTGGACACCCCTATTGTACCAAACCCCCACACTCTGCTATCTGGAGTTCCACCATCTGCAAAATACTTCACAGTCATTGACCTGGCTAATGCCTTCTTCAGTGTTCCACTGGATCCGACTTGCCAATACCTGTTTGCTTTCACTCATGAAATGCAACAGTATACATGGACTGTCATGCCCCAAGGGGCACAAAATTCTCCAAGTCAATTTGCTAAAGCCATGTGCTCCATCCTGGACCCATGGCAAACAGACCACCCAGAAGTTGTCCTACTTCAGTATGTGGATAATCTCCTACTTTGTGGGGATGACATACCTACAACAGAAGACTGTTCTATTAGTCTCCTTTGCTACCTAGCAGAACAAGGATGCAAAGCTTCACGTCTCAAGCTGCAATTCTGTCAGCCAACAGTAATCTTTCTTGGACATTGCCTATCTCAAGGCACCAGACATCTCACTCGGGACCGAGTCAGAGCCGTACTGGAGATTCCACCTCCAAGAACCACAAAATCTCTCCATGCTTTTTTAGGCCTCATTTCCTATTGCAGAGCATGGATCCCAGAAGCCTCTCTGCTTATGCAGCCACTCTATGATGCACTCAAGTCAGACCCATTCTGCCTGACAAATGAAGCACTGGACAATTTTAAAATTCTGAAACGTACCATTGCATCTGCTCCTGCTCTGGGCCTACCAGACTACACCAAACCCTTCAAATTATTTGTCTCTGAAAGACAAGGCCACGCCACAGGAGTGCTTACCCAAACAAATGAGTTAAGAGGCCGCCAAAGGCCTATTGGGTTTTTCTCCTGTCAGCTGGATATCGTGGCCAGAGGGGCCCCTTCATGCCTTAGGGCTGTTTTTGCTGCAAGAGAACTTATTGAGAAAACTGCAGACCTGGTCCTTGGTCATCCTCTGGTCGTATTGGCACCTCATGACATTTCTGCCATTATCAACCAAGTCCAGCTCAAACATGTGTCTCCTGCCAGACACCTGCGTTTACAGTGTCACCTCCTGCTACCTGACAACATCACCATACAAAGGTGTCAAGTTCTTAATCCGTCCACTCTTCTTCCACTCCCTGAGGGGGGTATCCACTATGGGTTTATCATGGACGAAACCTATATTTTTCTCCTCACTGGAACCATCAAGAGGATGCATCCTGATTTAACCTTTTATAAAGAACAAAAACCTCTCTGTGAGGGTCCAGGATATGCCTTCTGTACCACATGGTACAAGCCGAACATCTCTCCTGAACCTTGCTATGAAGATGAACTCTATCACTGGGTGGAGGTGAAACTCACTGCTCACGACTTCTATTGTGATTCTGAAGGCAATAGCATGGTCTTGATCGAACTACCTTCAGAACTCAAGTATTTATACCGTCATTGGGATACTGCTATTCCACATGTCCCTGTTACCAAGTTGAAAACAAAATCATGGAATGATCTCGGGCCCATGGCGAAATTATGGGCCACCATGGATGACTCGAAGTTACAGGAAAATGGCATTGCCAAATACCCCACAACTGACCTACTTGAAGCATGGCCACGCCATTTCCTGGAAAATGACTTTAAAAGCCTGGTCATAGTAAACAACTATGACCCAGAGACTCCTCACGACTGTTTTGAACAGATGAAAATGGAGACCATACATCTACCAACGGTGCATGAGAATCCATTGACAAATCCTGATTTCACTCTGTTTGTGGATGGTTCAAGATATGCTGATGAAGAAGGAAAATACCACACAGGATATGCCGTAACCACAACAGATGAAGTTATCAAGTCATCATCTTTACCACCAGCAATGTCTGCGCAAGAAGCTGAATTACAAGCCCTGTCTTCAGCATGCAAAATCTCCGAAGGAAAACGTGCCAACATCTACACAGATTCAAGATATGCCCTAGGTGTGGCACACGACTTCGGCCTCATATGGAAGACAAGAGGATTTCTTACTACTGCCGGCACACCAGTCAAACACAGCTCTGCAATCAAAGAGCTAATGGATGCCCTCCTACTCCCTGAAGAAGTGGCCGTATTGAAAGTCAAGGCACATGGAAAGTTGGATACAGATGAAGCAAGGGGCAACCATCTGGCTGATCAGGCTGCTAAGCAAGCAGCAAGAAATTTGCAGGAAGTGGACGAAGAAGTGTCCGGTCAAGAAGAAGTTCCTGTTTTTACTTTACAGACCCTTCCTACTGATCTAAGGATTTTGCGGGAACAGCAAGCCGCAATTACCCCTGAAGAGATCCAGAAATGGAAGAAGAAAGGGGCTGTCTTAAAGGACGGAATATACTATAACAATTTCAAATTCTGCCTTCCAAAAAACTTATACCCAGCAGTTGTCCAATGGGCACACGGACCAGCACATCTGTCAAAAGATTTAATGGCCGCCCTCATCCAGAAGTATTATGAAGCCCCTGGAATAACAACATTGATCACTAACTTCTGCAGGGTTTGTGCCATTTGCGCAAAATGCAATCCAGGGAAGCCAATCAAAGTGCCTACAAAACATCTGGCTAAGCCCATGTACCCATTCCAGAGAATTCAAATTGATCATATACAAATGCCCAAGAGCGGGCCCCATGAATATGCACTAGTGATAGTGGACATGTTCTCAGGCTGGCCAGAAGCCTACCCAGTAGCCAATATCACTGCCAAAACAACAGCAAAACGTCTACTTACAGATGTTGTATGTAGGTTTGGACTTCCAGAAGTTATTGAAAGTGACCAGGGCCCAGCCTTTACAGCAACAGTGACTAAAGAGATTTGGACTGCTCTGGGGGTGACCCTAGCCTTTCACACCCCTTACCACCCACAAAGTAGTGGGAAAGTGGAACGCATGAACGGCACCTTAAAAGCCAGAATGCTTAAAATGTCACAAGAAACAAAGATGCCCTGGCCAGAAAGTCTACCAATAGCTCTATTTAGTGTTAGGCACACACCTAGAGGGAAGCATTCACTATCCCCATACGAGATTCTATTTGGGACCGCACCCAGACTAGGTTGTTATTATCCACAACAGTTACAGCTTCAATCTGATGTTTTAGTAGACTATGTAATTGAACTTGCAAGTGCCTTGAACAAAATACATGCCCAAGTTTTCTCTTCAATTCCAGATCCCGATTTGGATACAGGTACCCATAGCCTGCTTCCTGGAGATTGGGTTCTGGTCAAGAAGTTTGTGCGGAAACATACCTTGGAACCAAGATTTGACGGGCCATTCCAAGTTCTCCTAATCACCGCAACCTCCGTCAAATTGGCCGGCCGGCCACATTGGATCCACGCTTCCCATTGTAAGAAAGTACTTGCCCCAGAGGAAGCTAGTACCGCACCACCATGTACCTCTGGTACAGTATCTTCTTAATCAGCTTAATTAAAGCTCAACAAGTAGCCATCACTAAAGATGCTAGTGGGTACACCTTCTGGTATAATTCATCATGTACCCGTGTGGCTACTTATACTTTTGACTACTGTGACATCGTAGAATGCCCATTCCCCACGTCACAGATTCAGAATATCTATAGAGATATCCCTCATTCAAAAGACCCCTATGTTTGTGTAGTTGACAAACAATGGGGGCACAACTGTAACCATTGGGGGGCGGCGGGATGGAATGCCGGGCCTGCCTGGGGTTACAAACCAAAAAGTGTCTTATCTAAAATTGATGATCACGGTAGGTCCCTCCTCCAGAGAATGACTCTAAGAAAGCCCGGAGGAGGCATACCTATGAAATTAATCTTAAACATTGAGCATCCCAGC